TCACAAACAAACGATAATACAAATCGTAACTACTTATAACTCTTTATCTATGGAAATTCATTAAAATCAAATGAACATCTATACATCTCTGGTCCCGTGAATCTATACATATTATAAAACTGGAGTGTCTGTGTGTAATATAAAAAAAATCGAGATTTCGGGAAGATGATGTATTTGCGTTGCTGATAACAAAAATCACATTTAAAAATTTTTTGTCTGTCTGTCTATCTGTCCGCAAGCTGCGAAACGGCTGGGCTGGTTTTAATGGGACTTTAACTGGAGGCTAGCTGACATGGACCGGCATATTATAGGCTACATTTTTTTTAATTCCGCGCTATCAAAATGGCGACCGGACCGCTATCTCTAGAACGGGTGGACTGATTTGGACGGGACTTTGATTCGAAGGTAGCTGTTAAAAGGTAGATGCACGCGGTAATGTTCTGCACTAACGAAGTTTGCGGGCGACAGCTCGTTACAAATAAGAATGTGCATAAACCGCTGACGTATTATGACGTCTTCTTCAGAAAAATAATAGTTATGGCCATTATTCATCACATAATATATTTACACTTATAAGTTTTTGTTGACAACTGTACTATTCTAATGATTTTTGACAGGTCGAGGAATATTACAAATTAAAAGTAGATTTGTAAATTACAGTTTATGTTTTAAAATAACATATCACGGCCGAAGGTGTGGACAGCAAAAGGAATAGTAAATTATATTTCAACGTGTCTTCTGTCATTGTCACCTTTAATATTGGCACTAATAAATATTGCATATTTTAACAATTTTATTAAATAGGGTTGTCAACTAAATCAGAATAAAAAATATATTTTAGCTGATAAAACAGTTGAGCGGAGGAAAGCGGCAAAGGATTGTGATCTGGGGCGCCTCATTAGTCTTCTATGGAAAATAAAAGTAAACCAAATCTTACAATAAAATATGGAAATCTTGGTATTTCTTATTCGGTTGGATTTTGTGCAATACTTGCATTAGTCACAGTTGTCGACTAAAGTAAAACTAACTTACACTGTTTATACAAATTATAAAATTTTAGCAGCGTGCTTAAACGCTTTTGACTCATACTTGGCTCATGTTTTGATTTAATTAGTACATTTGTCTATATAGATCTGCATTGTGCTTTCAAAAGAATGAATTAAATAATCTGAAATTATTCAATCGGATTTAATAGTATAATATTATAAAGAGGAATGATTTGGATTTTTATGTGTATTAAAATAACTCAAGAACTACTGGATGGATTTCAAAAATTCTTTCACCATTAAAATGGTTTTTTTTTTTTTTGTTTTTTGTTGTCGCGGGGAATGCATTTACGCACTTCACCGTCCATG